TGATGAACCAGGAGAAAGCTACTCCTGTTAATGAACTAGGGAATAGCCTCATTTTGTGGTAATCAGTTACGTCACCACTTTGCAGTGTAAATCGCCCTATGTGTTTTAGAGTAGACACCTCTCCTAAACCGGTAAATAGTGAGAATTCTAGCACTTTATATCCTCTAGGCCATGGATATGCTTGGTCTACCCAATCAGGATATGGCTTTGTGTAAGTTGGCCTAATGATAGGATGTACCCCAGAAGCCATCTGATCCTGCACTATTTCCATAATCTGATTCCTCAACATGACGTTGGGGTCATATGGAATTCCTACAGGTTGGTTGACCGGTTGATTTGCTTGAGACCTGATGTTTGGTCCTTGGTTGGCAACAAAGTTGCCATGATTTGGGCCATTGTTACCATTAGCCTGAACATTTATTCCATCATTGACACGTGGGGTATTCTGTCCGTTATTTAGGACATTATCTCTTACATTTAGGTTACCCCCTAAGTTAGATGTACCATTGCCACTATTTTGATTTGGCATTACACCATCCCCTTGGTTTGAAGTAGAGGGAACAAAAGGTGGTTCTACCCCTTGATTTGGACTTAGAACTGGGGGATTGTGTCCCACAATTGTCCTAGTTTGAAAATGATTTGCAAGAGGCACAACTGACTGACAAATTTGGCCTACTAACTTATTCATTATTTCATTCAAAGTATTCAGTTGTTTGGCCATGTTGTCATAATGTGCATTCCCATTCTGGGTAAATCTTTTCATATTATGAATATTTCGTAGATTTACCTGTTCAACGACATCTTGTGTGAGTTCTCCAAGTAATGCACGCATGGTTCGAGGACTCAACTCTGTCATTGGTTCGTAACGACTATGATTGCTCTGATTCTGTCTATTTGTTTGTGGAGAGCTATGCTGCTCTTCATATCGCTCAATCACAGACTGAACTCTTCCCTGACTTGCTGCTTCCTTATTGGATTTTTGAGGCATATTGTTTCACCTTTTGTATCTTCAACACCAAACACCAATGTCCCACTGGGCGTGCCAAATTGTTTCGTGCCGGTTAGTCGCCAACAATTAAAAAAGGATCAGACGATTATGTAAGAGACAAACCTCTTGAGACAAAGTCTCAAAAAGGGGTGTTTTATTGACGATGACTTTACAATTGGAAAATAAAACATAATGCCTCCAAGGGATGCAAGCACACGAGTACTGAAAGAAGTGTTTAAATCTAAACTAAGAAATTGAAATTACATATTCTCTGTTTGAGAGTGTTTGATTCGGGGTCTTTTGCTCTATGTCTTCTCTTCCTTTTATATTCCCTTGGCGATTTCTTCGTGATCAACCACTTAGAAACTGCTTGATTGCTTCATAACTACCCACTTTCTTTATGGTGGCCAACTTGTCATGGAATTGCCTTCTCTAACTGCTGCCACTACTCTTTGTCGTTCAACCGTCTTCAACTGAATTTCTTGAATCGTGGAACGTGATAAGGCTATTCAATAATTGCTTCAATAACTGCACTTCTGGATAACCATAACATCTCATGTTTGCTAAGATCCTGGACGACTTGAAGGTTTGGGCAAGAACAGGGTCATAGCTCTAGGCGACTGCAAGGCACTCCATTCACTCAGATCTTGGGCATCTTGCAAGCTTGGGCGATGGTGTTACCGCGTTCATGGGCTTCCACTACATTCATTAATTACCCTATTTGGGCCTTTATCATGAATTGTCCAGTTGGGCTTCGTTTTTTGGGCTATCTGATTTGGGAATTCTCCAATTGGGCTTCATTCCTTGGACTATTTGATTTGGGCTGCATTTTTAGTGTGTCAACAGAACCTCGATATTTCTGCAAATTTTTTTTGCTATTACATTGGATAACTATCCGGGCCGCTTCAAATTGGTGGTTTATTCCACCATATCTTACATCTTTGTGAGGAGTAATAAGAGATTAACATTAAATCCACCACTTTTCACTCTCAACTGATTCTCAATCTGTCTTATTCATGAATTTTCTGAATCAATCGACCTTTTGTAGGGAGTACTTGCACTGCTGCTCTTTCATGAAACAGACCGGAATTCAAATACAGAGATTCCAGGTTTTTGTCGGATGCTGCTGCTAATAATTGTGTCTAACAAGCACAAAGATTTGTAACAACAAATTTGTAATTCCGTCGACGTTATTAGTTTTGACTGGTTCAACAAAAATGCCCCCTACCGCCAAATCTACCGCCACCAACAAAATCAGTCTCCGGTACTAGATCCAACAAAACCAACCCTCAAAACGACCCCCAACGCACCATTACCACATCTTGTATCTACAAAACCACCACCTCACCATTGAAAATATAAGTTTCACAAAGAAGCTACTGAGCGGCACCGACGTTGCGTGCAAAGCCATCTGAAGGGGCGACTGCGACGCGCGAGCAGCTTCACCGTGAACCTATGGACGAACAGCTTCATAACAGCAGTCGATGTCGCCGATGTGTGCGATGGGCGGGCGACCACGCCTGCGGCTTTGAAAAATTTGAGGCGGTGGTCAAAGAACTGGAAAATGGGGAAAGAGAGGGGGGTGTGGTGTGTGGGAGTTACGAGTGGGTAGATAGTTGTTAGGAATATATTAATTTAATAAATTTTAAATACCACCTGAATTGTGAAATTAAACTTAATCTTCTTTGTTTATGAAAACTAGTTTTTAAACCCAGGTTTCAAGGTAATTTTCCCTTGAATTTATCCCATAAAAAAATACGTTCAATTAAAGAGAGAGAATAATTTTTTGATTTTCTTGTTTCTCTTTATTTTGCAAGTCTAAGTCTTTAAATTAAATTATCATGGATCAAGGTATATTTTTTGGTCAAATGATTTATATGTGAAAATCATAGAATTCTAATATCTTGGTATAAGAGTTGAATTGCTTGGGAAAAATGAGGCTAATGATTCAATTCTCCAACTTAGAAGAATTCAAGAAAAAGAGAATTAGAGTAAATTGCATGCTAAGTTTTTCATGAACTGTCTCTTATGGTGCATTTAATTGCGAGTATGAAATTTTAATAGAAAGAAAATAAATTCTTAACAATTCGCTTATTTGTATGAAAATTATTAATTAAATGTAGTTGATTGATTTAGTTTTCAACTTAAAAAATATCACATTTGTCCATTTTTCTTGGTTGGTAGATGAGAGAGAGAAAAGAGTGAATTGCCTAAAAAATCCCCTTGTTTGGAATTTTTTGTGCAAAAACCCCCGTCGTCAAGATCCTTTAGATTTGTCATTAAAAAGGTAAAAAATGCCAAAATTAAAATAAAATAATTTCAATTTCAATACCCAAACTTTTTAATTTTTAAATCAAAAATTAAATCCAAAATTTTTTTTATGTGCCATCTATAATCTTAAATCTTTAAAACTTTATTTTCCACCCCACAACTACATATTGATAGTTAACGACATTCATTGTAAGATGTTTGAAGCTTGGTAAACCCATTTTGTCCGCCAACTATGGAGACTCATAACACCATCTTCCGGCCACCTAACATTTAAAAAAAAAAATTAATTTGTGCAATTTATAAGAATTATAAATTAAATAAAAGTCACAACCCTCCTTTTTCCGAATTTGGGACCGGCTAAAATCAATGTAAGCAGAATTAAAATTGTACACGGAAAAATTATTTCGTGTGTAATTTTTCTTGAAACAAATAATCCATCTATATTATATGGCTACTATAACAAAAGATAATGAATATTAGAGCAAAGAAATTGAAGATTGAAGTTGAAATTAAAATTAAAACACTTCAAGTTAAAACTGATTGAAGAAAATTGTTATGAAACTCAAAATTTAACTTATATTTATAACAAAAAATATAATCATTTTTACTAAGTTTGAAATTCAAATTTGAAATTTAAGTTACGATTGACATAATGCATGTTAACAACAGCTACAATAGCTTCCTTTAAGGCAGCTTTCTATATTCTGAGTGATGCTACATCTACAAAGGAGGATGACAAAGTAGGTTGACAAAGTGGTTGTTGGCAAAATCTAGACCACTCAATTCAAAAACAGCTTTTGAAATCAAGAAAATTCATTGACCTTGATCTTGCTAACACACACTTTGTCAACCATTTTTGTCAAACTACTTTGTACAAGTAGTTTAATTGCTATATTCTACTTCCAGCTATATATTAGCTGCCTGTTTACTGAAGCTTTTACATTTTTTTAAATTCCTCCCAAGGCTTGGCTCATGGGTCGGCCCGTGTAGCTCAAACTAGCTCGGGCTCAAATCGATGCCTCAAAATATGGCTCGGCCAGAGCCTGAGCTCGATCCCTCAGAGCCACGAGTCAAGTCGGCTCTGGCTTTTGAGCCATGAGCCCAACGAGCCAACGAACCAAATTTACATCCCTAAGTAAACATGGATAATTATATTGGATAGTCTTAGGCTGGTTTGATTGAGTTTAATTATTGGATCCTAAAATATGAGCCCAATCAGGTCATTTTAATAGCTCCTAAAAAGTTGGGAATTTAATTGAACTAGTGATAAAAGTTTAGGCGGTGTACATGTAGAAAGGGCCAAAATAGTTTCTTCGACTGAATAGGGAAAACACTATGTCCATGAATAAGATCTAGGGGAATTGAGCAAGACATCCATTAATGTCCCTGTGGAAGTGTGGGAGAGAATTGTTTTTTTTTTCTCGCCTTTTGGAGAACGTAAAAGTTTGAAGAATGTAGATTCAAGAAAATAGTAGAATCGTATCACAATCATTCAAAAAATAAAAATCTACATTACTAGTAAATTCAGCCAAATCTTTTATGTGATTAATTAGTATAGATATAAAGTGAATTAACCTAGTCAAATCCTATGTTTGTAAGTTAAGTAACTACAAACATTTTTGGCAACATCATAATAGCTTGATTTGTGTTCAAATATTGTCCTCATTTGTGCTGAATTGAGATTGAAAAAATTTCAAAAAAAATTGAATTGAAATAGAAAAAGAGACAAAAATCAGAAACAGAATTGAATTCAAGATTTCAATATCAACTACCGTGGAAGACAAATATCTTGAATTAATTTTTGTTTCAATCAAAAATCATAACCTGGATAGAAGTCAAATGAGTTTTTGAAAGCTTCTACATCTTTAAGTTCTTTTCTATACGATGGTTGCTCATTTAAAATTTTCATGTCTGTATTGCAACCCCACACTCGAATAGCAAGTCTTCTACACTTTGTAGAGGGCTTCTTTAGGTAAGTATTGTACCAGTTGATAATATCCGACTTCTCAAAAGAGTCAGCTACTCCAAATTCTAGAGTGTCATTATTACACCTGTAAGACAAGCCACCAAAGGTTAATGTTACAACAAACTATCAGTACAAAACCACAGAAAATAAACAAGAAAATATGGCAGAATAACAAATCCTCTGCCGTTCACCCAAAACTCGAACCACACGGCATCAAGATGAAGTTCCTTTCAACAATAGGGCTCAGACTCAAGAAAATACAGGATTGTACCCTTCTGTATGACCCACACCGATCGCCCCAAACCCTAAGGTTTTCCTCTATCAGTTAAAGGAAACCACAAGGGGTAAAATCACACACCAAACTCTCCAATACACAGAGTATTATGTATCACAAAGACGGAATCACACAGAAACCAGATCCAATCAGAGATTGGATTCTCACGAAGAAGAAGAGAGGGTTTGGAAGACTCTCGAACCTCAGCCGCAGCTGGAGAGAGGAGAAAAATGACGGTCCAAGTGAATTAGGGCAAAAGGGGCCAAGTATTTATATCCAACAAAGGCACCCTTAGATCAAGTTTCAATCCGACGGTCAGGAGGCATCCATATAACTGAATAAGGCGTGTTTGGCTGCATTAAAATATGCCACGCCCAAAAACACGTTTTATCTACCATTGGGCCGGGGCGGATCGGGTCATGTTATTGGGCAAGAGCCTAAATTGTTAAAACAGTTATTGGGCTTTAGCCCATTTGTCATCACAGCCCAGAAAGGTCATTGGTCATCACAGCCCAACAGTTAACATGACAGTTCAGAAAAGAGGTTTAAATCACTATACAACATAAAATCAACAAAGCAGTCCATTACCTATAACAAATGTTTTAGCCCTGGCCAATTCTATCAGTAAAAAAGGGTAGATCTTCCTAAATGTTGCCCATTAATGCACCTCTGTAATTCTCAAACAAATCGTTGTTGAATCCATTCTGCATAGTGAACAAATATTTAACGAGGAAGCATATAAATATAATTCAACACTTTCAAAAACAATATTGCAAAATTTCATTTTGAATAAGAAATGAAAAAAGTAGAAGATTTCAGACAATGCAAATATATGGTGTGATCTCAATACCTAATATTTCAATGCAAAATATTCCTCAAACTACTACAGTGCACAATTACTATGCTGGCCACAAGAAAGAATCTAACCAAATGTTGATTGATGTTAGTGAAAAACAGAGAACCATCGAGGCCAGAATGCATTAAAGAAAGAAGGATTTCAAACTAACCAACATCTCTTCAAGGCCGTTTATGAAGTTGTCAATCCTCTCTAGCAAGTACACAGGATCGTGCTTAGAAGATTGAACTTGGAAACAGTATCCCTATATGCCGAATGTTACCCATGTGTTACAATCAACATCATAGCCAAGCTGCTCTTTTGTCCTATTTTAACATCAATTAAATCATGAATTAGTCATTATTTATTAGGGATTCCTTTAGATTGTAAAGATATAGTTTCAATCACTTAATAGTTGATATTGTTGAACTAACATTTATTCGCCTACTTTGACCTGCCGGAGAAGAGTTCATCAAATTTGTGTACTACTGCATTTTGTATGTACTTTGATATTAGCACCGACCCCACACACATGTCAAACTATCAAAGCATTAACATTGTAGATTTTTATGCGCAACATTGAAAATGTATACGCCCAAAAAATGATTAGTATATGGGCACTTGATGTTGGAATAATAATTAGTTGCAGTAATGTTCAGAACGGTAAAATGCAAAAAGAAAACTTATCGCCTGATCGAGTCTCGTGACAGCATGATGTCCTAAAGTGAAATTGCCCGTCGATAACTGCTGCGACCTCCGTGGACAATCACTCCCAGGATACAACGATCATAAACCACTTGTACAGTAATCACAAATGATTTTTTCAGAACTATCGGTTGTACTCCAGAATATATGTAAAAATTCAAGGATAAGAAATTCAGAATATGAAAAGGAAGGATTCGTAGAAGATGATTTTACTGTTTTCTTTTATGTGTCTTTTCACAAAACGAGATATAGATTTATATAGGCAAGATGGAAGTAACAGCTTCCACCATGATCAGAGATTAATTCAGAATTTTAATGACTGAGTAGTGGGTATTTTAATGACTGTCAGTGGGTTGTTACAAAAACAAACAGTCAGAAAATACTGGCTAGTTTTACCCATTAAATAATAAAAAAATCATTTATTTTAGTCAAGGAAGCCCAAGGCCCCAATCAAGACATTTTAATATCCGCGTGGGGAGTGACTCGAACCCCTGACGTCCCACACAAATGCCACATTTCCCACCACTATGGTAGTTTATCTAATTTGATTATTTCTTTCACATTTTATATTTATACCATAAATATATAACAATCCCCCACGTGAAAGAAATAAGATAAATGAAAATATCACTCTGGAATACGGTAGAAATCATGCAGGCTTAGGTGTCTATCGACTTGAACCTTGGCTTTGTATATTCTATCGAGCTTACTAACTGTAGAGTGAACTATGTCTTGAACTCTACAATTATAAATGCAAACTGAGACAATAGAACACACACATGATTTCTAGAACAGTCATTGAGTTCTCGCGGCTGTGTTCATTTCGGCCATGAACTTTCCCAGTTTCTTTGAGTGCTCTAGAGAATTTGCCTCAATTCTCATAGAAAGCGGTCTCACTTCCACACTCAAATAGGTGCTACTATCAAGGGTGCACTGTATCTAAAGACCCCCACTAAATATCAGCTATAGTAAGCATTAAGAGCATTAGCTCATCCTCTAATCAATACAGTTGATACTACGCATCATAGGGAGGGGTTTGGAATAAATCCAATGTAGTACCCCCACAGACCACTCCAATAACTTTGTTGTCCCATTGAACCTTGACCATGGGATCTCCAATTGCAAGGTTGGATTTCCATTATAGGTGATCTAATAAATAATAGGCTTTAGCCCCATCCCTCTCGATGTGTGTTGAATTAGCTCTCTAGCCAATCCTTTGGATAATGGGTCAGCAATGTTATCACTTGACTTCACATAGTCAATAGCTATAATCCCATCCTTAAGCAGCTGACGCACAGTATTGTGCCTCCTACGAATATGTCTAGACTTTCCATTGTAGGATGAATTTTGAGCTCTTGAGATAGCTGCTTGACTGTCACAATGTATTGAAATAGTTGGAAATAGTTTAGACCACAAAGGAACATCCATAAGAAAATTCCTTAACCATTCAGCCTCCTCACCTGCCTTATCTAAAGTTATGAACTCAGATTCCGTAGTAGATCTAGCAATGCAGGTTTGCTTAGTGGATTTCTAGGAGACAGCACCGCCTGCTAATGTAAATACATATCCACTTGTAGATTTACTCTCATTGGTATTGGAAATCTGCCACGCGATTTATGCAACGTGATTTTATACCGCAAGTGTACGGTGTCAAGTTTTGTAATATAGTTTTGAAGAAGGATGTCGAACCCACAGGGATTAATATTCGAATTAATTGAGTACTATAATTATTTTAGCCCTCACTTTATTTAGATGATCAAAATGAGAAACAATATTTTTAAATTAAATTAAAATAAATGGAATGAACGACGCAAGTAAATGGGAGCAAATTATGAAGTTTCTTATCAAATTTTGAATACCTAGGGAATGATTTCACCATACCTTCGACAATGTTTTTCACCCGTATAACTATTTCTATTGATCTTTCCAAAATTTATAGGCAAGAACACTAAAGTGGTTCTATTTCCCTCTCCCGAGCGCCAAATAAAATCTATTTCTAGATTCTAATTCCAATATCTCTATTCCGAATTAAAACATAAAAATTATCAAGCACGTGATTCTTAATTAAAACATGCCTCAAAGATTCGCATTTTCTCTCGAAACCTATGAAATCTAGGTTATGTTATCTTAGATCACGCCTAAATTTTGCCTCTCTCGAGTGCCAAAATTTAGAACACCAAATCAAGCAATTAGTAACCAGTTAATTGAAAGCATTGCGCACAACAACACAAATAAATAAACGGAAAGATTAATTGAAATAATTAAAACGGAATTAAAACATGTCTAAAGCAGGCTACATCAACCCTAGGACTAAAGTTTAATGTATAATTGAAAGAATTGACATAATTAAATTATAAAGCATGAACATGAGAAGAAAGGGATAAGAAAAACTAATTGATTGCAGCGTGATTTCTTCCCAAAGTTGCCAATTTCCTTCAATTAGTTTCAATTTTACTCCAGCCATTTACGTGTCTGCTTCCTCTGCTTCGGTTTCTTGTGTTTATACAAATAATTTCAGCAGCAAGGCAGCCAAATTCCTCCCCAACAGCCGAAATAATTGACTTCAAAAGGGACTCTGAAGTGCCTCAATTTGTCTCCAAATATAATATTGCTGTTGCAGCCCCAAGTAATTTCCCTCAATTTCTAAGCTTTCACGTGTATATTAATGGCGGCAGCAATTTTATCCCCTAAAGTACTCCAAACTCCCTCCTCAATTTTCGTGCAGGTATGGCGTGTGGAGAATGTATAAAAATGTGCAGCCGCCTCTTTTAATGTCTCTCCCGTTTTTTGTGCGAGACTTATTTATATATATTCTGCCCACTCCTCCAGCAATTCTGTAATGTTTTTCCTTCAATTCTCGTCTCTCTCAATTTTCTGTTTTATGTTGTTCCCCTCTTCAATTAGGTCTTGTCTGTGTTGTTTATAACTTCTAGAATTTAGGGAACAATATGAGACGTGTTGGGCCCAGAAATTATTATAAAATTGGGTTTCTTTCTGGTCGAGGCCCGGGCCCGTGGTACCACTTCTTCTTTTCTTGGCTCGTTTGCACTCCTTTTTCATCAGTTTCTACTCCTAACAAAAACATTAAAACCACATGGTAAAACATCCATAACTCATAATAATTCGATAAATAATAAGCTTAATTGATATTAATTTAATGAGTGAAGTATCACTCATCAAAATCTAATTACATCACAATATCCCTCAAGTATAGCAAGGAATTTGGTATAATGTATTCCCCAGTCTTGAGTGTATCTCAAATACCTCAAGACTCGAATGAGAGCATCCCAATGTTCATTGTTAGGATTACTAGTATACCTGCTAAGTCTACTGACAGCATATGCTATATCATGTCTTGTACAGTTCATGAGATACATGAGACTGCCGATTACTTTAGCATACTCTAAAGCGGAAACACTAGGACTTAAATGTTTTCTCAAATGACGACTTGCATCATAAGGTGTTTTAGCAGGAATACAATTGTATTGATTAAACTTCTTGAGAAAATAATTCCTTCAGAATGTTTTACTATTTTGATTCCTAGAATAACATCAGCAACACCCAAATCTTTCATTTCGAAGTGCTTGTTCAAAAACTATTTAGTTTTATTAACCACATCTAAACTAGTTCACATAATCAGCATATCATCAACATATAAGCAAATTATCACACCACAATCATTTTCAAATTTGTTATATATGCATTTATCCGCTTCGTTTATCACATAACCACTTGATGTCAAAACTGTATCAAATTTTTCATGTCATTGCTTAGGAGCTTGCTTAAGGCCGTAAAAGGATTTTTTAAGTCTACATACTTTATCCTCAAGTCCTTTTACAACAAATCCTTCAGGCTGATCCATATAAATCTCCTCTTCTAAGTCTCCATTTAAAAATGCAGTTTTGACATTCATTTGATGTATAATAAGATCATACAGTGAAACAATTGCAATTAACATCCTGATAGAGGTAATCCAGCAACGGGTGAATAAGTATCAAAGAAGTCAACTCCTTCTTTTTGTCTATAGCCTTTAGCTACAAGGCTTGCTTTAAACTTATCAATCGAACCATCAGGTTTAAGTTTTTTCTTAAACAACCATCTACACCCAATTGTCTTGCATCCTTGAGGTAAGTCCACTAACTCCCAAGTATTATTACACATAATTGAATCATATTCACTATTTACAGCTTCCTTCCAAAATATAGAATCTGGTGAAGACAAAGTTTCACCAAAAGTACTAGGATCATCCTCTACCAAGTAGGTTATGAAGTCTAGACCAAAGGAAATAGTGGTCCTAGGTTTTTTGCTTCTCCTAATTTCAGCTTCTTCTAATTCAGACAGCTCCTCTCTAACACTGGGAGGAATACTAAAAGAACTGCTTGGTCTTTCAGACTTTTCTTTAAACGGAAATTTATTTTCAAAAAATTCAACATCTCTTGTTTCAAAAATTGTGTTCTTTTCGATCAAATTATTTTTAGAGTCAATGACTAAAAATCTGTAGGCATTACTGTGAAGAGCATAGCCTATAAAAACACAATCAACAGTTTTCGAACCAAGTTTAGTTCTCTTAGGTGTCGGAATAGCAGCTTTGGCTAAATAGCCCCACACTTTAAGATATTTATATGAAGGTGTTCTACCCTTCCACATTTCATAAGGGGACTTATTATTTTTTTTACTAGGAATTCTGTTAAGAATATAACATGCAGTAAGAAGGGCTTCCCCCCACATATTAAAAGGTAATCCAGAAGTGTTTAGCATTGATATGACCATATCCTTAAGAGTCCTATTTTTCCTTTCAACTACACCATTAGATTGGGGAGAATAAGGTGGAGTAGTTTCATGAATAATGTCATTCTCAACACAGAATTTATCAAAATCTCCAGTATATTCTCCTCCCCTATCAGATCTTAAAACTTCAATATTTGTCTAACTGATTTTCTACTTCGACTTTATATGAAATAAATTTTGAATAGCTTTCATCCTTACTCTTAAGTAGATAAATATAACAATATCGAGAATAATCATCAATGAAAGTTAAGAAATATTTATTTCCACCACGAGTAACATATCATTTTAAATCACATAAATCAGAATGTATCAAACTTAAAATCGAAGTAGTCCTATCAACACAAGAAAATGATTTTCTAGAATATTTAGATTCAACACACGTTTCACATTTTGAATTTGGACAATTATCGATTTTGGGAATGTTTCCCGAAGTCATTAATTTTTTAATGAAAGTTTTATTAACTTGTCGAAGTCTAGCATGCCACAAATCATAAGAATCCAACAAGTAAACGGAAGAGCTAGATGCTTTATTGTTAATCACGGAGACATTGAGTTTAAACAGACTC